TTTAACGCTGGTTTGCTGAGGCAGAGTTCTGTTGTTGGCCTGATTCTGGGAGCTGTGATGTCTGCGTCCTGTGACAAGAGCTGTCATGAATTCTTGGCCTTTGAGAGGTGCAGGTGGGGTGAAGGGAGATGGCGTGAAGAGCTGGCAAAGCCTGGTTGGGCTTTGGTGTTCCCCCGATGGAGGCCTCCCTCATCTCCTCTGCTTCATTCACATGTGAGCCCTGGGCACAGCGGTCGTGGCCTTGCTCTGCATCCCTTCCCTGACCCATCAGGGTGGGAGATGCCTGGATTAGAGACAAGCTTCATCCCAGAGGGCTCTCCTCTCTCCTGGCACGTCACCCATCGGCACTCAGGTGTTCAAAGAGCAATTGTTGGCTCCCAGCACTTCCCTGTGTAAGTCACTGTGTTAATTCCTGCATTGCTTTGCTAGCACCTTGGTGTAATGTCCACCCCGGTTTAGTTGCTGATGGATTACGTGGAGTTGAGGTGCAAAACAGCACTTTTCCCAAGCTGTATCCTGCAGATTGGCAAAACCCTCGGTCCTTTCCCGATGATCCCTGTGCTCAAACTGTTAGAGATGAAACAATGCCGTGTGTTATGTCCAGAGGCTGGTTAAGCATGTGCCTGTTGTCATACTCATGAATGGTCTTGGTCAAGCCACATTCCTCCGTGCTGAAGTCATGTTGGAGCAGCTGGCTTTGAGGGATTCAGTGCGGTAACTCCTCGCCGTTGCCTCTCCCCCCTTTCATTGGCTTTCCCTCTATGTGAGCTCTCAAACCACCCGAGCCCTCCATGGAGAAGCAGATCCGTTTTGTATCCCGTCGAAGCCCCTCTGGAAGGTGAATGGCAGCTTCGGAATCCTCCGGGCTCCCTGGAATTCTGTTTTGTTGTTAACATTGGAGAAGTGAGTGGGAAACAATAAAGAATTCAACAGCCTCTTGAATGTGACATTGCTCCGTGCCGAGCTCACACAGAGGACGTGCAGGGGCTCCCATAGTCCTGGCTGCACTGAGAGGTGACAACAGGGACAGCAGCACTTGGGAAGGGGGGGCTGGAGGAGGAATTCCTTTTGGCTGTGTCAAGCCCCAAGCGTTTTGAGACTGTCTGAAGAGTGTTAATGCTGCTGTGTGGTTTCTTGTCCTGTTTCAGGGAGCTACAAGCGGAGATGGATGGTGCAGCCGTGGTGAAATGAAGTGCAGGGAGAGGAAATGTTCTCTTTGACTCATGAAAAATGGGGCACTATAGAACCCCCCCCTGAATTACCATCTTCTGCTGCGTTTTTCCACGGCCTGCAGCATTGTACTGTGTGTTAAAGAGCACATAAAGAGGAGGAGGGTGGCTGGAATGAAAGGACATTTGGGTTTCAGCTGGCACTAGACTGAGCTGAGCTCTTAGGCAGAAGCTCTTCCCTAGGAGGGTGCTGAGGCGCTGGCACAGGGTGCCCAGAGAAGCTGTGGCTGCCCCATCCCTGGCAGTGTTCAAGGCCAGGTTGGACACAGGGGCTTGGAGCAAGCTGCTCCAGTGGAAGGGGTCCCTGCCCGTGGCAGGGGTTGGGGCTGGAGGAGCTTTAAGCTCCCTTCAACCCAACCCATTCCATGATTCTCTGATTCTGTGCAATCTCTCCCGATTTCCTGCAGTTGTTGCATTGAGGAGCAGTGGAAACTTTCACAGTGGAAAATCCCAAGGCTTGGCAGGAGCAGAGGATGCAGTTTGGGTTAGTCACAGGGCTCGCTCACATCAAACCCAGCGCCCGGATTTATGTGCACCGGAGCAAACCAGCGGTGCCTCGGAGATCCCGGGAGCACTGGGATTGCTGGAAAAGCTCTTTCCTGTATGCCAAAGCACATAGTTCTGCTTGGGCTGCAGATCCTGCTCACGCTGAGCTCACTGCCTGTGTCTGCACGCATTTCACCCGGCACAGCTCCTCCGTGCTGCTGTCTGGAGCTGGAGGTGACTGGGGTGATAGATGCCTACGGGTGCAGCCGCTCAGTGTTTGGTTGCTGAATCATGGTGCTGTCAGAGCTCGTTTCTCTTTTGAGCCTTATCTTTGTCTTCAGCCTGCCCTGGGCCAGATGTGAAGTGGGTGGGAGACGATACCAAAGCCGGTTAAGAACAGTGATGCTTCTCGTGGCTGTGGTCACAACGCAGAGATCCTCAGGCTGTTACAAGCAGGGGTCTTCCCTCTGACTGTGACAGTGGGCTTTCAGACGTGAGGCACCCATAGGGAATCCCTTTTCCCCCCTTTTGGCAAGGGAAGGGACTGGGCAACCTGAGAAAGCCCATTTCAGCCCTGGTACCCACTTTGTGATTGCTGAGATGACAGCAGGTGGAGGGAGGTCATTGTCCCCCTCTGCTGCATGAAGGGGAGACCCCCCTGCAGCCCTGAGCCAGCTCTGGGGCAGCAGCACAAGAGGGACGTGGAGCTGTTGGAGCGAGGCCAGAGGAGGCCATGGAGCTGCTGCGAGGGCTGGAGCAGCTCTGCTCTGGAGCCAGGCTGAGAGAGCTGGGCTGGGGCAGCCTGGAGAAGAGAAGGCTCCTGAAGGGGAGACCTGAGAGCAGCTCCAGTGCCTGAAGGGGCTGCAGGAAAGCTGGAGAGGGGCTTGGGACAAGGGCCTGTAGGGCCAGGCCAAGGGGAATGGCTTTAACCTGCCCGAGGGGAGACTGAGCTGAGCTCTTAGGCAGAAGCTCTTCCCTGTGAGGGTGCTGAGGCGCTGGCACAGGGTGCCCAGAGAAGCTGTGGCTGCCCCATCCCTGGCAGTGCTCAAGGCCAGGTTGGACACAGGGGCTTGGAGCAAGCTGCTCTATGGAAGGGGTCCCTGCCCGTGGCAGGGGTTGGAGCTGGAGGAGCTTTAAGGTCCCTTCAACCCAAACCGGGCTGGGATTTGAGGACTTCTGAAAGTCCTAGAAATGGGAAAATCCCGCTCAGATCTGCCCTGGTGATGGAAACTGCTCCTGCCTGGCCACACGGGTCTAAGCCCACGGTCAGGAAGCTCTCAGAGGTGATTCTGTGACAGATCTCAGCCAGACCGGGGCAGTTCAGAGCACGCCTCCTCACTCTTCCTCCCTCCACTGGGTGATGGCAACAGGACAAAGCCCCTGCTCAGCTTCTTGCTCAGAGGGACCGTGCCAGGAGTCCAGAAACCCTCAGTTCCCACCTTCCACAGGGCCTTCAGAGCGGAGGAGCCCCCGGCAGCTACCAGCAGGAGAGACTTTAGCACTGATTTGCTTCCTCCCCTCCGCTATTGCTTTGGAGTTTGGGTGCAGAAGGAGCTGGGGGGGAGGTCTCCAGCTGGGAGCCCTTCACTGGTTTGAACTGGTGCTCAGCACTGCTTCAAACCTAGCCCGGGGTCTCCAGGTAAGGCCAAAGCCACGGTGCATGGGTTGGGGTTCCCCATAACCACGTGGCCATGGTGCATTCTAACCCCATCTCTGAGCCTGGTGCTCTGCTCCCACCCCAAACCCACCAGTTCTGTGCCCACACCTGCCTCCCTCTGCCCTGATGCATCCGGATCCGATGGGGTGATGCTGGGGGCTTCATTCCAAGCTTTCCTGTTGGATGCTTGGCTGGTTTTGGCCAAGCTTTCCCTGCTGGGGTGAGCTCTATCCACATGCTGCTGTCTCCATAAGGAAGATGTGTGTGTGTCAGCTCCCTGCCCGCCTCATCCCCTCGTGTCCTGTTCCCTGTCCTACAAATAAAGCATTTGTGAAAAGCCTGGAGTGGGAATTCCTCCTTTTCCCTTCCTTCAGCTCCAGCCCTCGGCCTCCTCAGGGCACCCTGGCGAGGAAGAGTGTGAGTACATCCCAGCTCTCCCCTCATCCCCCCAGGAGGAGGAGGAGGGAGGGAGGATGCTTTAGCCACAGCTTTTCCCCTCCCCTCTGTGTCCAATGGCTCCAACATGGATAGAAACATCTGGAAGTAATAACCAGCATTGCTCTGGCTCTGGGGTTAACCTGTGCTGGGTTCCTCCTCCTTCCTAACAGCCGGAATGCTGCGGGGATGTGCCTGTGGAAAAAGCAGGAATTCAGGGCTGTTTTGCTTTCATATCCAAACAGGTTTAACAGAGCCTGGAATTGCTCCTGGACCATGCTCCCAGCTCATCCTTGTGCCTGCGCAAGGGGGGCTGGATGAGCACAGCCATGGGGTGATAAATGTGCAGTTTTGAACCCAAAACCGAGCGGGAGTTTCCATCCATGGAGTTCTATCCCTCTCCTTCCCAATCTTTATCCCTTTTTCTTCCTGCTCCCTCCGTGCAGGAGGACTGTAGTCTCCAAGCCTCACAGGGATGGGGCTGGATGGATGCAGGGAGCCTCAGCGCCGGGGCTGCTGCCACCCTGCACCTTGACCCTCCTCACTTCATCCCTGCTGTCCCTCCTGGGAAGCAGGAGCTCCCAGCCCCATCTCCAGCTGCTTTTTGGCCTTCCAGTCACGCAGGTGCTGCGCTCGGGATGGACAAAGGGAGCCTGTGGTGGGGATCCCAGGGGATCTGTGCTCCGGACGTGGGCCAGGGCAGCTGGAAGGCAGCGGCTTCCTTCTCCCTCCCCACTTCCCCCCCTTACAGCCGCTGCCTTGTGAAGGAGAAATCCCAGCCCCCTTTTGGGGATGCAGGGCCCCCGGGCTGCTGTTGGGATGGATGCGGAATGTGGGGCTGCACACTCAGCCCCAGGCACCGCAGTGGGGCTGGGGGAGGAAGGAGGGTGAAGCCCCTTTGCTCTGGTTCCCTATGGTCACCTCGGTCACTCTGAAGCCTACCCGAGGCACTGCCAGCCCTGTTAACCCTATCCATCTGGATGAAGGAGCTTGAGGATGCATTTAGGATCCAGGCTGGATTCAGGTGAGGGGGGGGACACAGACACATAACCCCCATCATCCTATGGGATACCCCACCGGAATATTCCCTCCAGGCTCCATTTCAGTGTCTTTTGTCTTTATTTCCACCCGTTTTAGCCACACTTCATCGGTGCCACCACCCCCAAGAGCACCCAACAGCGCTGCCACCCCTTTGGGTGCACCCATGGGTGCCACATCCATGAGCCCACGGTGGCCTCATTCCTGTGGGTCCGTGCTGCACGGCCGCCGGAATTCCTGCCCGTACTCATGGATCCATTTATTGGCCACTGGAAGGGACAAGGACAAGGACAAGGACCCCCGTCTGCCCCTGGTTTTCCCCATTATCCAGATTTTCCCTGGGTCCCATCCCGGTGTCACCCCATTGCCTCACCCCACTTGTCCCCGGCCAGCACGGGGCAGGCAGCGTGCAGCGTGGCCCCGGCCCCGGCCCCGTTCCGATGCAGGTTCCACCAGAAGAGAGCCGCGTTCTGCCGGATACAGAGGGAATGGACCCGGAATGGGGCCGTGAGCACCAGGATTGGGGTTGGAGACCCCCAAAATTGAGCCAGGAGTCCCAAAACTCAGGGTTTCCACCCCAAAACAGAGCCTTGAGCACCAGGATTGGGGTTGGAGACCCCCAAAATTGAGCCAGGAGTCCCAAAACTCAGGGTTTCCACCCCAAAACAGAGCCTTGAGCACCAGGATTGGGGTTGGAGCCCCCCAAAATTGAGCCAGGAGTCCCAAAACTCAGGGTTTCCACCCCAAAACAGAGCCTTGAGCACCAGGATTGGGGTTGGAGCACCCCAAACCAGAGCCATGAGTCCCAAAACTCAGGGTTTCCACCCCAAAACAGAGCCTTGAGCACCAGGATTGGGGTTTGGGACCCCAAAATTGAGCCAGGAGTCCCAAAAATCAGGGTTTCCACCCCAAAACAGAGCCTTGAGCACCAGGATTGGGGTTTGGTACCCCAAAATAGAGCCATGAGCTCCAGATCTGGGGCTTGGAACCCCCAAAACAGAGCTGCAAGGCCCAGAATTGGGGTTGGAACCACAAAATAGAGCCCTCGAGGCTCAAAACTGGGGTTGAAACCCCAGAACAGAGCTGGGAGCGCTGTGATTGGGGGGTTGCCCCCCGAAACAGAGATGGGAGGCCCAGAACTGGGGGTTGGAACCCCTAAAACAGCACCAGGATCCCTAAAACTGGGGGTTAGAACCCAAAATAGAGCCAGGACCGGAGGTGCTGGGGTGGGAAATCCCTAAAACAGAGCTGGGAGGTCTGAGCTTGAGGCTTGGCCACCCTAAAACAGAGCTGGGATCCCCAAAAGGGGACCTTGGCATTGCCAAAACACAGTTGGGAGCGCTAGGATTGGGGGTTTGACCCCCAAACCATGACCAGGATCCCTGGAATTGGGGTTTGCCACCCAGAACAGCGCCGGCATCCCCCCAAAAAAGGGATTTGGGGCTTCCCCCATCACAAATGGGAGCCCCAAAGCTGGGGCTCCCCCTCACCTTGACCACGGGGACGCTGATGTTCGCGGCGATGAAGGCGGTGGAGCCGCCGGCTTCCACTGCGCTCAGCTGGGGGAGAAGGAGACAGGAGCATGGCCCTTCCCTTCCCCGGGCCATCCCGTGGTCCCCAGCCTCATTCCCCCCCCCATGGCACGGCACAAGGTGCAGACCTCATGGGAGAGCCCATAGAGTCCTAGGGTAGTTTGGGTTGGAAAGGACCTCAAGAGCATCCAGTTCCAACCCCCTCAGGGACACCTCACCCTAAACCACGGCACCCAAGGCTCTGTCCAACCTGGCCTTGAACACTGCCAGGGATGGAGCATTCACAACTTCCTTGGGCAACCCATTCCAGTGCCTCAGCACCCTCACAGTAAAGAACTTCTTCCTTAGATCCAATCTAAACTTCCCCTGTTTCAGTCTGAACCCATCACCCCTTGTCCTATCACTGCAGTCCCTGATGAAGGGTCCCTCCCCAGCATCCCTATAGGCCCATCCCTGATGGAGGGCTGTCCTCCCCCACCTCAAACCCTGTTCACTCTGAACCCCACTGAGGACCACGGGCAGCGGTGAGGGGGGGAGGACTCACGTAGATCATGACCGTGGCGATCCTGTTGCCTGACTTCATCCTGTAAAGGGGGCTCTTCCTCGACTGCCCCGGGAGGGAGGATGTGGCCTGGTCATTCCCATGGGAATGGGCAGTCCCGTATGGATGCGGCTTGGCCTGGAGGCACCTCAGGCACTACCCATGGGAATCCCTCCCTCTCCCTTCCTTCTTCCTTCCCTCTTCCTCCCTCCTTTCCCAGGAATATCCCAGGCACCAACCCAGGGATCACCACCCCACAGCCCTCCCATCCCATCCCCTCCCAGGACCATCCCAAGGTCCACCTCCAGCAATATCTCAGGGAACATCCCAGGGATCACTATGGGATGTTCACCCCCAGGGACCTCCCTTGGGCACCACCCCATGGATCCACCTCCAGGAGCATCCCCTGGACCACCCCATGGATCATCCCAAGAACCATCCCAGGAGCACCACCCCATGGATCCACCTCCAGGAGCATCCCCTGGACCACCCCATGGATCATCCCAAGAACCATCCCAGGAGCACCACCCCATGGATCCACCTCCAGGAGCATCCCCTGGACCACCCCATGGATCATCCCAAGAACCATCCCAGGAGCACCATCCCATGGATCCACCTCCAGGAGCATCTCCTGGACCACCCCATGGATAATCCCAAGAACCATCGCAGGAGCACCCCAAGGACCATCCCAAGAGCACCCCAGGAGCCACCCCAGGGACCACCCCATGGATCATCCCAAGAACCATCCCAGGAGCACCCCAAGGGCACCCCAGGAGCCACCCCAGGGACCACCCCATGGATCCACCTCCAGGAACATCCCAGGGACCATCCCAAGAGCACCACAGCAGCTACCCCACGGACCACCCCAAAGGCGGAACCATCCCAGGAGCACCCCAAGGACCATCCCAAGGGCACCACAGGAACCACCCAGAGCATCACCCCGTGGACCACCCCATGCAGCCCCCAGGCATCTCCCTGACCGTGGCGTGGTCGAAGTGTGGCTCGTAGTGGCCTCCCAGCCCATAATTGACCACCTGCAGGTACTCGGCATAGGGCGGCCTCAGGTCCAGGCCGGTGACGGCCCCGATGCGCTGCTCCAGCGCCCGCACCACCGGGTCGGCCGTGTCCTTCAGCCAGGCACTGCAGGAGCACCCAACCCACCCATGGCTGCTGTCACCCTCGCTGTGGGGTGTGGAGGGGTCTCCCCGGGGTGGCTTCACTGTCACCTTGGTGGTGGCAATGGGGCCGCGATGGTCCCGTTGGCCATAGGGCAAGGGATGCGATGGCTCCTACCTCTTGCTTATCCGGTACTCAGCTTTCTGCTGCTTCTCCCCAGAGGCGACCACGGACCTCTGCAGCTGGGGGGCACACGGTGGAGGGGATGGTGCTGCAGGTGGGGACCCCACCACCAAGCAGGGACCCCGGTTGGGGTCCAGCTGGTGGGTTTATGCCAGCACGTCCCGGCCCCGATGTGTCCCACCGGGGTGATGGAAGCGGTGACAGCAGTAGGGTTGGATGCCACCACGTCAAGCGTGGCTGGGAAGTGGTTTAGGTGCATGCGTGGACCTGGTTTCTCCTTTGGGGCAGGCTCAGAAGGAGCCAAACTGGGCTCATCCCACCCTTGGGCTGGCTGCTGAAGGCTTTTGGCTAAGCCATGGCTTAACCCCCTCCTGTCTCTGCATGCCCAGGTTGGTACCCCCTGCACCACCAGCTCCTGGGGCACCCTCCTTGAGGTCAAAGCCATCCCTGGGGATGGGGACAGCTCACCCAAGGCCCGGCCAACCTCTTGATGGTCTCAGCCTCGGCATCACTGATGAAATCGTGGTACAAAGCCACGTAGGGCTGGGTCTGGACCATCTCCTTCTTGGCAGGCTGGAGCAGGAGGAAGGGGCTGCCATTGGTCTCATAGGAGCAGACGAGGTGTGGGAGATGCTCCGGGGCTGACTGGGGAGAGAGGAGACCAAGGAGGGTGTGAGAGGGGAGGACAGTGGTGGGGTGGGGACCATGGGACCCCTTTGCCATCCCCACCTGCCCCCGTGGGCGCTGGCACAGCTCCTCGTAGGCATCCCGGCTCTGTAGGTGGGTGCCATTGGGACGTCGCAGGGGCTCAGCGCTTCTCCCTGTCCCCTTCTCCAGCAGCTCCTCGTACTTGACCACGTTCCTCAACACCCTGGGGTTACTGGGGTCTGTTGGAGAGGAGGAGTCACCCCAAAGGCCGCGTCCCCATCACCTCCCTTCCCTGGCATCGATCCCAGGGGAGCTATCCCATACTGGGACAAGAATGGGGTGAAGGAGGCTGGTGCCTTGCAGAGGTGATGGGGACAGCCCAAAACCTCTCCCCTCCTCTTGCCACATCCGAGGTTGCCCCACGTACCATAATGGAGAAACTCCCTGGAGAGGCTCAAGGCATGGGAGACGTTTCCAGCCTGGATTGGGGGTGTGAAGAGCCCATCAGCACCCCACGGCTTGGCTCTATTGGGCACCACGGGGATGGGGATGGGGCTCGTGGCCGTACCATGAAGTAGGAGAAGGCGAGATGGTCCAGAGCATCCTCCAGGCTGCTCCGGTCCTCCGGGTTCCAGCTGCCGTAGGAGAGGCGGAAGAGGCCGACGGCCTCCTCCAGCCACGCGATGGAGTGGTAATAGTCACCCGTGTCATAGGCCACCTGCGAGGCAGAGCACCTGCAGCCTGTCCCCATCCCTTCCCATCCCACTCCGTCCCCTCCTGCACCATCCTCATCCCGTCCCGTCCCATCTCATCCTTTTCCTTCCCATTCCACCCCATCCTGTCCCATCCTGTTCCCATCCTATCCCATCCCATCCCACCCCATCCTCTCTTGCACCATCCTCCTACCATCCCTTCCCATCTCATCCCATCCTGTCCCCATCCCATCCCACCCCGTCCCCTCCTGCACCATCCTCATCCCGTCCCGTCCCATCTCATCCTTTTCCTTCCCATTCCACCCCATCCTGTCCCATCCTGTTCCCATCCTATCCCATCCCATCCCACCCCATCCTCTCTTGCACCATCCTCCTACCATCCCTTCCCATCTCATCCCATCCTGTCCCCATCCCATCCCACCCCATCCCCTCCTGCACCATCCTCATCCCGTCCCGTCCCATCTCATCCTTTTCCTTCCCATCCCATCCCGTCCTGTTCCCATCCTATCCCATCCCATCCCATCCCATCCTGTACCATCCGATCCCACCACGTCCCCACTCCCATCCTCATCCCATCACTTCATCCTATCCTAATCTCCATCTTCATTCCAATCCCACCTCTAACCCCTTCCCATCCTGTGCCTACCCTGTCTAACCCCGTCCCATCCCATTCAATCCCATCCCCACGCCATGTCCTGCCCTCCAATCGCAATTCCTACTCATCTTGTCCCACCGCATCCTGTTGCTTTCTTATTCCCAACCCCATTCCTCCGATGCCATTCCCTTCCTTTCCTGTCCCATCCACTGGATCCACGCTCCATCCCCATTTCCATCCTCATCTCAGCCTCCGCCTCCATCCGCACCTCCACCTCCATCCCATCCATCCCATCCCATCCCATCCCTTCCCATCCCATCCCTTCCCTTCCCATCCCTTCCCATCTCATCCCATCCCTTCCCATCTCATCCCATCCCATCCCATCCCATCCCATCCCATCCTCCCAGCCCATCCCATCCCATCCCATCCCTTCCCATCTCATCCCATCTCATCCCTTCCCATCCCATCCCATCCCATCCCATCTCATCCCATCCCATCCCTCCCATCCCATCCCATCCCTTCCCATCTCATCCCCATCTCATCCCTTCCCTTCCCATCCCATCCCATCCCATCCCATCCCTATCCCATCCCTTCCCATCCCATCCATCCCATGCCATCCCTTCCCATCCCATCCCTTCCATCTCATCCCATCCCATCCCATCCCATCCCATCCCATCCCTTCCCATCCCATCCCATCCCATCCCTTCCATCCCATCCCATCCCATCCCATCCCATCTCATCCCTTCCCATCATATCCCTTCCCATCTCATCCCATCCCATCCCATCCCATCCCATCCCATCCCATCCCTTCCCATGCCCATGCCATCCCATCCCATCCCATCCCTTCCCATCCCATCCCATCCCATCCCATCCTTCCCATCTCATCCCATCTCATCCCATCCCATCCCATCCATCCCTTCCACCATCCCATCCTTCCCATCCCATCCCATCCCTTCCCATTCCCATCCCATCCCTCCCATCCCTTCCCTTCCCATCCCATCCCATCCCATCCATCCCATCCCATCCCATCCCTTCCCATCCCATCCCATCCATCCCATCCCTTCCCATCCCATCCCATCCCATCCCATCCCTTCCCATCTCATCCCATCTCATCCCATCCCATCCCATCCCATCCCTTCCCATCCCATCCCATCCCATCCCATCCCATCCCTTCCCATCCCATCCCATCCCATCCCATCCCTTCCCTTCCCATCCCATCCCATCCCATCCCATCCCTTCCCTTCCCATCCATCCATCCCTTCCCATCCCATCCCATCCCATCCCATCCCTTCCCTTCCCATCCCCATCCCATCCATCCCTTCCCATCCCATCCCATCCCATCCCATCCCATCCCATCCATCCCTTCCCATCCCATCCCATCCCATCCCATCCCTTCCCTTCCCATCCCATCCCATCCCTTCCCATCCCATCCCATCCCATCCCATCTCATCCCATCCCATCCCATCCCATCCCTTCCCTTCCCATCCCATCCCATCCCTTCCCATCCCATCCCATCCCATCCCATCCCATCCCATCCCTTCCCTTCCCATCCCATCCCATCCCTTCCCATCCCATCCCATCCCATCCCATCTCATCCCATCCCATCCCATCCCATCCCTTCCCTTCCCATCCCATCCCATCCCTTCCCATCCATCCCATCCCATCCCTTCCCTTCCCATCCCATCCCATCCCTTCCCATCCCATCCCATCCCATCCCATCTCATCCCATCCCATCCCATCCCATCCCTTCCCTTCCCATCCCATCCCATCCCATCCCATCCCATCCCATCCCATCCCACCCCACACTGCCCCTCCATCCCAGCTCTGCAGTGACACTCAGAGGACTCTGCCCTCAACAGGAGCCTCGATGAGATCCCCCAGATCCCACCCCTGGCATTCATGGACCCACTTTCACCGCTGGCTTCGAGCTGATCCCAGCTCCAGCCAGGACGCGGGGCCAGGAGCTCTCCCTGGGGCCACCGGCCCAGCTCTTCCCTCCCCACGCCATGAACCAAGGAGAAGCCCCCTTATTCCCCCATCCTCTCCGGGGAGCTGCCCCCGAGGCTCCCCCCCGCACCCGTCCCTATGGAAGCGCCATTCCGGGATGGAAAACCTGCGGCGGTGGAGCAATCCCTCACCTTTCCCACATGGAAGCAGTCGTCGGCGGAGAGGGCCACGAGCCGGCGGGGGCTGTAGAGGGGCGGGCGGGCGGCCCCGGCGCGCTGGAAGACGCCGTTGGCCAAGCCCTTGACGCTGAGCCCGTACACGTCCTGCAGCCGCATCAGCGCCCGCGCCGCCCCGTCCAGGTCCTCGGCGCCCGGCAGCTCCTGCTCCACCTCCTGGAAGCCAGCGTGGAGCTCTGCGGGCAGGGAACGGGTGCGGGGGGCGTGAGGGAGGGGATGGGGGGGGGGGGATCGACCTTATGGGTGCTGCTTCATCCCTGGGGGTCTGCATCCTGCTCCTCCATCCCTTCCCCTGCTCCTCCATCCCTTACCCTGCTCCTCCATCCCTTCCTCTCTCCTCCATCCCTTCCCCTGCTCCTCCATCCCTTCCCCTGCTCCTCCATCCCTTGCCCTGCTCCTCCATCCCTTCCCCTGCTCCTCCATCCCTTCCTCTGCTCCTCCATCCCTTCCCCTGCTCCTCCATCCCTTCCTCTGCTCCTCCATCCCTTCCCCTGCTCCTCCATCCCTTCCTCTGCTCCTCCATCCCTTCCCCTGCTCCTCCATCCCTTCTCCTGCTCCTCCATCCCTTCCCCTGCTCCTCCATCCCTTACCCTGCTCCTCCATCCCTTCCCCTGCTCCTCCATCCCTTCCTCTGCTCCTCCATCCCTTCCCCTGCTCCTCCATCCCTTCCTCTGCTCCTCCATCCCTTCCCCTGCTCCTCCATCCCTTCCCCTGCTCCTCCATCCCTTGCCCTGCTCCTCCATCCCTTCCCCTGCTCCTCCATCCCTTCCTCTGCTCCTCCATCCCTTCCCCTGCTCCTCCATCCCTTCCTCTGCTCCTCCATCCCTTCCCCTGCTCCTCCATCCCTTCCCCTGCTCCTCCATCCCTTGCCCTGCTCCTCCATCCCTTCCCCTGCTCCTCCATCCCTTGCCCTGCTCCTCCATCCCTTGCCCTGCTCCTCCATCCCTTACCCTGCTCCTCCATCCCTTCCTCTGCTCCTCCACCCCTTACCCTGCTCCTCCATCCCTTCCCCTGCTCCTCCATCCCTTCCCCTGCTCCTCCATCCCTTCCCCTGCTCCTCCATCCCTTCCCCTGCTCCTCCACCCCTTCCCCTGCTCCTCCATCCCTTGCCCTGCTCCTCCATCCCTTCCCCTGCTCCTCCATCCCTTCCCCTGCTCCTCCATCCCTTCCTCTGCTCCTCCATCCCTTCTCCTGCTCCTCCATCCCTTCCCCTGCTCCTCCATCCCTTACCCTGCTCCTCCATCCCTTCCCCTGCTCCTCCATCCCTTGCCCTGCTCCTCCATCCCTTCCCCTGCTCCTCCACCCCTTCCCCTGCTCCTCCATCCCTTCCCCTGCTCCTCCACCCCTTCCCCTGCTCCTCCATCCCTTCCCCTGCTCCTCCATCCCTTCCCCTGCTCCTCCACCCCTTACCCTGCTCCTCCATCCCTTCCCCTGCTCCTCCATCCCTTCATCCCTTTCATATACTTCTCA